TTTAGCTCAGTGGCATTAAGTACCTGCCTTGCAAGCAGGCGGTCGTGAGTTCAATCCCCGGTACCGATAAAAAGAAAAAAGAAAAAAAAAATTAAAATAAAAAACCAAAAGCAAACAGAAAAGATTTACCAAGAGACATGCAGTGTGAGGGGAGAGGAGAGGAAGCAAAAGGAATGAACATTTGTTACATCATGGGCCAGTTTTCAACAAGAAATGTGATCATTATGTCCTACAAACATACACTAATAAAAAGATATAAACTGAAAAAGTAAACAAGAGTTTATCCCTTAGAACTCCCATCTTTGGGCTTCCATTATAAATGGTCTCTATGTACATTTCTTCATTTGGTGGTGTTCTGAATTTTTTGTTTTGAAACTTTTAGCAGTACCAAAAATATCCAGGAAGGGGGCTGAGGATACAGCTCAGCAGCACAAGCATCTGCCTGGCAAGTACGAGTCCTGAGTTTGAGTCCTAGTAACCAAAAAAGAAGTAAACGACAACAAAAAAATCCAGGAAGAGCCATTAGAAATGAGAAATTTTGCATCAGTGCTTTTCAAATCATCTTTATTAAAGTTCTATTTTTGAGCGATTATAGCACCTAGAATCCACTGAGGGCCAGGATTTATAAAAACAATGAGCAATAATCTCAGAGGCACAGGGCTCCACACGGTCCCTTGTTTGTGAGCACCCTACAGTGACGTGGCAGACACCCATTGCTGTGCCAGGGCCTCACCCAAACAGCTGCCCTTGCTTGGGCTGCTCAGCACTGCCTAGGAGTGCACCCCACTTAGCGACCCCCAGGACTGCATGATGAGCTCTGGGTGCTGGGCAGTTCTTGCTGACGGCTCTGATGTGCAGCAGTCAGAGGACTTCTGGGCCAGAGTCAGCCACAGCTACAGCTCAGCCACTCGGCTGGGTTGGCAGGGACACCCAGGGCTGGGCAGGTGTTCCGCCAGATCCAGGCAGTCTCTCCACATGGTCAGCAGGGCTCTCTCACAGCCTGATGGCCTCAGAACAGGAGACTTCCTGGTTTGGCAGCTCACTGCCTCACCGTGCCTGTTTCAAAGGGTTGTGCTGGAAAGCCAGGCGTGGTGATTCCAGTGCTCGGAAGGCTGAGGCAGAAGGGTCCTTATAAGTTCAAGGCCAGCCTGGACTGTGTCCATTTGTTGAAGGCCAGCCTGAACAACATAGCTAGACCTTGTCAGGGGAAAAAATCTCCAAGCTGGAAGCTGCCAGGCTTCTCATGACCTAGGTCTTTCCATGGTGTCACCTCCAGGTTAGTGGGACAGTCGGTAGCTCTGTCACAATGTAACCACAGGAGTGGCGTCACCCTGCTGCTCTGCTGTATTCTGTAGGTTAGAAGTGAGGCCCAGGCTCCACCTGCACACACACAGCTGGGGACCAGAAATGGCTGAGTCACCTGAGGGTCTGCCCACCCACATTCTCTGTGGGGTCTGACTCCTCCTTGAAATACAAATGTAGACTTAGAAATAAAATGACAAGGAGCTGGGTGTGGTGGTGCACACCTGTAACGCCAGCACCCAGGAGGCAGAGGCAGGAGGACTGCTGAGAGTTCAAGGTTAGAGGCTGAACTGGATGGAGAGGCCCATTCTCAAAAAAAAAAAAAAAAAAAAAAAAAGTAAATAGGCCTAGCATCATGGCGCAAGCCAGTAATCTCAGCACTCAGGAGGCTGAGGCAGGAGGATCACTGCAAATTCGAGACCAGCCTGGGGCACATAGCAAAACCCTGACACAGAAAGAAAGAAAAGAAAGAGAGAGAGAGAGAGAGAGAGAGAGAGACAGAGAGAGACAGAGAGAGAGACAGAGAGAAAGCCTAGGGATGGAGCTTAATCATCAAGATAGAGCTCTGAGGCCATGTGAGGTCCTGGGTTTGATCCCCAGCACCTCCACAAAACCAAACCAAACTCTCCACACTTTGTGTTTCACTGGACCTGCATATGTTTCACTATGATAGTTTGCAGGTGGCTTTTCTTGGAATGTGAGAGAAGTGCTACTGTTTTGTTGTAGTCATGTCTGGATGCAAAGCTAACTGTATTTCATAAGACAATGCTGTAATTGCCAGAGCATGTTTTGGAGGCGTCTCGAACAAACCACAACTCTGCCCCCTTCCTGGCTATGGAATGTGTTCCCGTGCCATGCTCTTCTGCCTAGAGACAGAATGGACAGTTGTCTCCTCCTCCAAAATCCTCTCTCTTTTATCCCGGGCTCCGATTCATGTCTGATTCAGCCCCTGTGAAACGCATTAAATAAGGACCTGGATAGAACAACACTGAGGGGGTGGGATGGGGTGGGGCTGAAGGGGCAGTTAGGTCATTAAAAGGCACGAATACCTTCCACAAGGACTGGGTTAGCCTCCAGGCCTGGATCCATCACTGGGAAAGCCGCTCATTAGGAGGCTGCCCCTCCCGTTCCAACTCTGTCACACAGCCCTGCTGCCAGGCTCACCGGGCCCGGCCTCAGCATGAGCCACCTGACCAGCCATCCTACACATTCAACCTCCAGACCACGAGCTGCGCACACCTCTTTCCTCTACAAATCAGCTGCTCTCAAAAGCCTGGCATGGCCTGTAATCCCAGCAACTCAGGAGGCTGAGGCAGGAGGATCACGGCAAGTTTGAGACCAACCTGAGCTCAACCTGGTAAGCTCAAGGCCTGAACTGCATAGCAAGACCCTGTCTCACAAGGACAAAAATAGATAAGAAATGAGTAAGTAAATCACCTACTCTCGGGTCTGTCATAGCAGTAGAAAATGGTCCAAGGCCCTAGGGAGTTGCTCACATCTTTTCCGCAGTATTTCTCTGCCCTTTATTTTATTTGTTTGTTTGTCTTTTGAGACCAGGGTCTCACAATGTAGTTCAGGCTGGTCTTGAACTCACTATAGAGTAAGCCTAAGCTGGCCTCAAATTCACGGTGGTCCTCCAGTCTCAGACTCCCAGCCCCACAACCCTTTAAAGGTGTTTTTCAAACTTTCAAGCCTAGTTCTCCCATCCGGCCCGGCTAGCGATTTCACCTGCACCCTGTGATGCATGCTCTGCTCCACGTCAGAGCCAAACTTTTGCTGCTATTACTGCAGCCAGCTAGCCCTCCCCTGCCTTCACAGCCCTTGTGCAGCCCCTGCTTGCTCCTCTGCCACCTCTCAGTTGCCAGGTCCTTCACCTGTCACACTCCTCTTAGATCCTCAGAACCCAAAGGACACTGATTCAGTGAGTGAATCAAATTCTCTGTGATCTCATATTCTTGTTTGTAAATTGGAAATCACAGCTCTTGTCTAAAGGGAAATTAACTGGGCCAGCTGTGGTGGTACAGGCCTGTCATCCCAACACTCTAGAAGACTGAGGCAAGAGGATCACGAGTTCTAGCCCAGTCTAGGCAATCTAGTGAGACCCTCTTTCAAAATAAAAAATGAAAAAGGGCTGGAGATGAACCTCCAGGTACAGGTCCTGAGTTCATTCCCCAGAACCAAAAAGAGAGAGAGAGAGAGAGAGAGAGAGAGAGAGAGAGAGAGAGATGGTTGGGGATACAGCAGCACAGTATCTGCCTGGTAAGTACAAGGTCATGAGTTCAAATCCTAGTACCATTATTAAAAAAAAAAGAGGAAAAAGGCTCACCAAAAATAATTGAATTATTTTTCAAAGGCAGATAAACAGCTCACTTCTAGCCCATCCCATCTGTCTATCATTAAGATACGCCATTAATTTACAATCCTAACTATGTCTGAAAATTACTGAATATTTTGCAATCTCAAGTAGGATTCTGAATGCTCCCAACACAAAGCAATGCTGAATTCTGAGACAACTGGTATGCCCATTACGTGATGCGGTCACTACACAGGCTGAAAGGTTGCCCAGAATCCCTGTGCGTGAACAGCTATTATGTGCCAGTGAAATATATTTATAAAATGTACAGCCTTGCACATTGTTTATAGTCTGATCAGGCCTCATCGTATATATTTTACCTAAGTCTCCTCACCCTTGTTACCTCCTTCTTCTTAGCCTTTCCCATACCTGTAGGTGTTCCTTAATTTTGCAGCATTATCCGAGGCAAGCCTGGAACAAACTCCATAAACGATTCCCTGTCAGTACTTTAAGAAGTGGGTGTGCATTTCCACCAGTCTCTATGTTCAAAACATTCATGAGCTACAAATTAGCCTTCTGGCATTGTTGAATACTGCTTTCTATTCTTTCTCTTTTTGAGACAGTGTCTCACTATGTAGTTCAGGCTGGCCTTGAACTATAAACCCAGGCTGGCCTTGACTGGATGGATCCTCCTGCCTCAGCCTCCCAAGTGCTGGGATTACAACTGCGCTCCACCATGCCCAGTTCCTGCTTCCTATTCTTCACTTCTCCGTTCATTTTTAGAAACTGCTGCTCACTTAATCCCCCACCTATTAAAAGGATTCACAGAGAGATTGTTTTTACGTCTTAGTGGAACCCGTTTGCAGTACATACTGATCACATTCCTGGTGGGGACTGGTCCATGGACAGAACACATCTTCACTGAGTTTTTTCACACACACAACCCCACCCCATGTCACAGCCCCCTTTCTTGTCTCCCCCATTCACAGACAGATTTAAAGTCTCATATGACTGTCCTGGAGCGAGAGGTCCAAGGGTACGATCCCTTTTCCCACAGCCTGCAGAGGTCACCACTACCTTCGTGGAGGGGCCTGGAGGACTGGGCACCTCGGGAGCGCTCCCGAGGTAACTTAGCCAAATCCTGGGATCCGAACCACACTTCCGGCACATCCCGAACCGCTAGTTTACGGGGACCTGCGCCTGTCCTGTCGCCGCTGCGGCGGGCGAGTGACACCAGTCAAGGTCACCGCGGAGGCCCGGTCCCCTCCCGGCAGGAGGCGCGCGCGCTCTGCCCCGCGTGGGGCGCCCGTGCGCCCGCGATCGCGCGGGCCGGCTCCGGAGCCACCTCCGGAAGGTCCCGAGTGGCGGCGGGGGCGCGGCCGGCGGGGCGGGGCCGGCGGGCGGGCGGGCTCGGCGTCCCCGGGCCGCTGCGCAGCGCCCGTTGGCGGAAGCCGCGCTGCCGGGCAGGAGAGCTCGGGCCGGGCGCGGCGCCCGGCTCCCCGCGCCATGCAGCGCCTGGCCATGGACCTGCGGGTGCTGTCTCGGGAGCTCGCGCTCTACCTGGAGCACCAAGTGCGCGTCGGCTTCTTCGGCTCGGGCGTCGGCTTGTCCCTCCTCCTGGGCTTCGGCGTCGCCTACGCCTGCTACTACCTGAGCAGCATCGCCAAGGTGAGCCGGCGCGGCGCGGGGCACGGCCGGTGGCAGCGGGGGCGCGCGCGGGGCCCCGCGAGGTGCCTCGTCCGGGACGCGGGCCGGGGGCGCGGGGAGCCGGGCAGACCCTGCCCGCCTGCTTTGCGGACCGGACGGCGGTCCCCGGCCGGGTCCTCGGCCTGAAGCGGGACCCGGCAGATGCTGCGCCCGGCGCTGCCGGGTCACCGTCCGCGGGCGCACAGTGTCGCCTGGCACCGTGTGGCACTTGGGGGGAGGAGGAGTCCCCGCCTCAACTCGCCTTTCTCCCGGGGTCCGGCTCCGCTGCTAGCCTGGTCACGACGGAGACTTCGCGTTGCTCTCCCGGCGAGGGTCGTCGGGGTCCCCTGGCGGTGGGCATCGGGGTCTCCCGGCGGTGGTCATGGGTTCCCCGGCGGTGGGCATCGGGGTCTCCCGGCGGTGGTCATGGGTTCCCCGGCGGTGGGCATCGGGGTCTCCCGGCGGTGGGCATGGGCTCCCCGGCGGTGGGCATCGGGGTCCCACGGAGGTGGTCACTGGAGTTCCGTGGCAGTGGGCATCGGGGTCTCCCGGGGGGGGAGCCTGGGGTCCCGGCGCGGCTGGGCGCGGGAACAGCTCTGCCCCTGCGGAGACGCCCGCGGAAAGTTCGCTGAGCCGCGGACCCCGCGCCCATCGCCGCTTTGCCTGCAGAAGCCCCAGCTGGTGACGGGCGGCGAAAGTTTCAGCCGCTTCCTCCGCGAGCACTGCCCGGTGGTGACGGAAACTTACTACCCGACCGTGTGGTGCTGGGAGAGCCGGGGACAGACGCTGCTGCGACCCTTCATCACCGCCAAGCCCCCGGTGCAGTACCGGAAGTAAGCGCACCTCCGTTTCCTGGGGACCCTTCCGAGTGCGGGAGTTGGGGGCCACGGGTCTCGGTTAGGAGGACAGAAGAGCAGGCAAAGGGAGGAGGTGAAGGCGCCCCCACTCCAAGCTGCAAGGAAATATGCAGCGATTGTCTTTCCTTTCCTTTTCCTTTCCCCTCTTTCTCCAATGTAAATTATTCATTTCTAGGATGGAGAAGTCCCGGCATAACATTTTCCCAGTTTGTCCCGCATCTGTCCTGAACACATCCTTTGGTTCAGCGCTGGTTCATGGCAGAGAAGGTGCCAGGCGTTCCGGGCTTTCCATAGCCCTGCAGAGGGGCTTCCCCGGGACAAGCAGACGCTTTCTTTGTTTTCATTTTTTTCCCTTTCTTTCTTGTTTTTTTTTTTTTTTTTTTCTGTCTTTTTGAGACAGGGTCTTGCTGTACATTTTAGGCTAGCCTCGGGCGCAGACTTTGTAGCCCTGGCTGGGCTCAAACTTGCAAAGGATTCTCCTCTGCCTCCGCCTCCCAAGTGCAGGGATTATAGGAGCGCGCCATCACGCCAGGTTTTAGCAGACGCTTTCTTGGTGAGGACGACCTTGAGGCATTAAAAATGTAACCAGGAGTGCACATCCAGGACAGTTTAAAGGTGCCTCTTACTCATTTCCTGAGTCACCTCATTCTTCTGGAGTTTCTCTCTCTCTCTCTCTCTCTTTTTTTTTTTTTTTTTTTTTTGTTGTTGTTGTTGCCTGAAACACGCACTATTCAGTGTGTAGATACTATGTATGAAGTGCTTCCTTAAGAAGTAAACTGTGTACCAGACTCCGGGAGAGGCTGTATTATTGGGGCAAAAGAGCTTCAAGTGGAATCGATCTGCATTTTATGATTCCCTGTTGAGTAATCCTGAGTGACCTCCATGGAATCGGGGTAAACGCTAGGTGTTTAGAGTAATGAGGAAATGATTACATAGGAAGTGTTTGAAGTGTGTGTGGGGTTTTTTTTCTTCTGCTGGACGGGGGCGATTAAACACGAGGCCTTGCCATGCTGGACGAATGCTCCACACAGCCACCCCCAGCTCAAATGACTGAAGTGTCTTGAATTCATTTCTGTGTATGACCTTCTGAGGATGCTGGAGATGTGTTCTGGTGCCAGTCCTCATAACTCCCTGGGGAGGAAAGGGAGACACAGATGTGTCTGTGTGAGAAGGCTGAACAGAGGTTACCTGGAGATGGCCCAATAATGTGGTATATTTGTAGAATTAAAACCCTAACACAGCCTATGATGAATGTGATCAATACATATGTATATCTAAATCGTATCCATAAGCTTAATAATAAGATATTAAATCCACAGGGAAGGGGCCCTCTGACATTAAGACAAAACTTGAAACACTTAATGAGAAGTGTCTCGGAATTGTTTCTTTCAGTGAACTTATTAAAACCGCAGATGGAGGACAGATTTCCCTGGACTGGTTTGATAATGGTAACAGTGCGTATTACACGGATGCCAGCACCAGACCCACTATCTTACTGCTGCCCGGCCTCACCGGAACCAGCAAGGAGTCGTATATCCTTCATATGATCCGTGTCAGCGAAGACTTAGGATACAGGTACTGGGGAAAGACATTTTCCCATTTTTTCGCCTAGTTCATCTTCAGTGAGATGCACATGTAGCTACAGCTCTGTTTTAGAAATATGTGTTATTTCTTGCATGCATCAAGCAGTTACCTGAGTTAGTCTTTTTTTCTTGGCTTCCTCTTCCCCTCCCCTTTTTTTCCAGCAGGGTGCATTAATAATAACATCTCCCAGGAAATGGCACTTGGCCTGGTAGTAGACACTCAGAGGGCTTAGGTTGAAGGCACAAATGAAATTAGAGTCATCGGAGAATTGACAGAGGCCCCCAGATTTGAAACGCAGTGGACATTTGCCCCCACCAAAGGAGAGCTATGCAGAGCAGAGCTTACAGACTCCTGAGAGGGTCACACTCTGGATTTGGGCCTTCAGTTTGCTAATCTTGTCTCCCTGGCTCACATCCCAAGTGTAAAAAATACTCAGAATCAGCTTTTAGGCCACCCTTATTTTTCCAAAGGTGGCTGCCTGTGAGTGCAGGTGCCCATGGCCCGAGTCCAGCTGATGCCACAGCAATTTTGCTCAGTCACAGCACAAAGTTTTGCAGGTGGCTTAGCAGCTTGGTGTTTCAGGCCCCACTCTAGAACCTCATCATAGAACTGCCACTTTTCTATGCTTCAAGGTTTTAGCTGAGATAATGGTTGCGAAGATTTGTCTCTCTAGTTCTGTTTTTTGTTAAACCTGAAAGTCTCCTGAGTGTGGGAAAGGCCAGTGCCCTGTTTATAAGAAAAGCATTTTGATAGGAGGGGAGAACTGCCTTAATAGTGAGTTCTTTTTTTAACAAGTTAACTCTGATCAAAGCCAGGTGTGATGGCTCACGTCTGTAATCCCGAACTTGGGAGGCAGAGGCAGGAGGATTGCTTCAAGTTCAAGGTCAGCCTGGGCTACAAAGTGAGCTCAAGGCCAGCCTGAACTGCATAGGGAGACTTTGTCTCAAAAAAAGACAACAAATATATATATATATGTATATATATGTATATATATATACATATATATATATATATACATATATATATATATATATATCAGTTAACTGTGACCTTTCACAGGTGAAGCCTGTTTTGTCATGAAGTAACATTTTCTTAGAAACTATGATACGTTGTTCTAGAATTATGGTGCTTCAGACATTTGCTGACTGTTAACAAGAATTCGTCACTGTGCCATGGCTTTAAGCAGCTGCCAGTTACATAGGAAGCTTGTTCCCAATTTTTTTTCTCTTTTTTGGCTAAAATTTAGTTACGTTCAGCAAGCAGAGAAGCTTGCCAGGTATGGTGGCACATGCCTATAATTTCAGCACTCGGGAGGCTGAGGCAGGAGAGTTCAAAGCCAGCCTGGGATACATAGTAAATTCAAGGCCAACCTGAATTCCATAGGGAGACCTTGTCTCAAAAAGTCAAACACACACACCACAAAGGAAAAGGAAATAGAGTGTAGAAGCTCCTAAGACCTTTTGTACATATTTAAATTGATGATCCTAGCTTTGCCCTGAGCTGTCTCCAAGGGAACCTGACCATGAATTTAGGTGGCAGAGAGCTTAGCATGTGAGAGATTCGGGTTCCATCCCCAGCTCCAAAAACAAACAAACAAAAATAAACAATGTAGTTAAAATTCCAGGACTAATTCTCATAATCCCTGGGCCTAGCCAGAATGCATGACTTTTGTCCGTTTCTGCCTCCTGGGAAATACACACACCTAGTTTCCTTGTGGCGATGCACGGATGTTGGAGTTATGCTCGGGGCAGAATCTCAGAGGTAGTGAGCACCCCTGTAGCAGAGATACCCTGTCTGTCTGGCCCCCATGACCGTGTGTGAAGTTGAGTGTTGGGGGTGAGGGGTCCTGAATTATTTCAGTCACCAGGAAACTGCTGTTGCTTTACTGATGAAAAGTGATTTAGACAGGAGGGAACCTGATTCCCAGCGCATGGATGGATGACCCCAGAGAGTTGATAGGTGAGGATAAGCAGTCTCTCCTAGACCTGCTCAGTAACCAGCAGGAAATACTTTTGTTTGAAATACTGAGGTCCACTAATTTACAACCAGTGATGGATGAGACAGAAAGTAGGCTGCAGTCGTGCAGGACAGTGGTGAGTACGGGGGTTCCGAAGTCAGGTGCAGAGCAGTGAGTGGGGAACACCTGGTCTCCCTGCCCCGCCCACTGCCCTTGGTGAGCACACCTAGAGGGCAGAGTGCTGAGCACATAGACTCTTGCAAATTTACCAACCGTGGAAGTCACCTACCTGGAGAATGAGTGCGGTAAGAAAGGGCAGGAGGCCAGGAGCATGTTTAGAGAGAGAGAGAGAAGCCCTTCTGATGGAAACTGGAGAACCAGAGAAAAGGTGCTAGGGTACCCTCTAATAATTTACATCTGTGTGGTTGAGAACGCTTAAAATGTCAGCCATGTATTCAAAATCTGTTTTGAAAAAATCTCCACACTAGTGTGGTGGCTTATGCCTGTAATTCCAGCATGTGGGAGGCTAAGGCAGGAGGATAGTCACAAGTTCAAGGCCAGCCTGGACTACATAGTGATATCCCATCTCAAAACCAGTCAGCCTCCATTCAAACCAGTACTATAGTACGCCACTTGGAGGCTGAGGCAGGAGGCCCCCTGGAGCCCAGAATTTCAGGACCAGCCTGGGCAGCACAGTGAGACCCTGTTTAAAACACACACACACACACACACACACACACACACGCCCAAAAAAACCCTCCATTCAGTAGTGTGCCCTAATAGGTATTATTTGATGCACCTGAATAATATCTTATTTTCTTAAATCTTTCTCCTGTCTCTGAATTAATTTTAAATACTGAAACAAAAACAAGGAGAAACATAACTCTGACGACATCTGAATTATCTTTTACTGTGACCTTTTTCTAAATTCATGTACGTTATACCCCCTACGCCCGCTAATATTAAAAAGAGTGACCCGTCCCAAGTTACATAAAGAAGCCATTGGAATCTAGGCCAGTCATTAAGTATTTCGGTACCGTCCAGAGCAGGAGCAGAGCCGGTATTCCCAAGGAGCACTCGGTCTAGTTGGAGTGTCAGGGAAGATGCATAAGTTGGAAAGTCTGCGTCAGAAAGAACCAGGATTTTGCAAAGAACAAAAACCTCAAATGGCAATGACTTGTCTCCTCTGTGGCCCACAGCCTGTCTGGCTGGTCCCAGGAATCACAGGCAGCTTCCGAGTCCATGGATTCTTAAGCTCTCACTGCTCCATTTGCATCTAGCACACAAGGAGGATAACAGGACAGTAAAAAATGCACCACTCTTAGGATGGTGGTGGCACAGCCTGTAATCGCAGCACTCAGGAGGCTGAGGCAGGAGGCTTGCAGCAAGTGCAAGGCCAGCCTGAGCTATGGAATGAGTTCAAGGCCAGCCTGAACTGCATGATGAGGCTCTGTCTCCAGAAAGGGAAAGAAAAGAAAGGAAGAAGAAGGAGGAAGAGGAGGAGGAGGAAAAGAAAAGACAGTCTCTTAGGATGCAGACCCAGGGACCGGGGCATAGCTTAGTGGAGAGCACCAGCCTATCACGTGCCAGCCCTGGCCTCAGTCTCCAGCAGGACAAAAAAAAAAAAAAAGCTGCAGACTCAGCAGTTGTCCGCACACCTTTAGCTTACATAACCCGGCCTGCCTGTAACTGCAGGGGAAGCTAGAAAGTTAAGTCTCTATTTGGGGCAGCCGTGTGCCAACTTCGTGGATGTCAGGGGGAGAGACAGCAGCCTTTCCCCCTGCGTGATCTGCAGGAGTGGAGTGCAAGTGTGATGAGTCTGATGGTAAAGGGAGAGGAACTGCAGAGTTGTTGGAAGAGAGAAGGATGAGTTGGATTTTTCACCAAGGCAGATGTGTAGTGTTAGGCATTTTTTATTCTTTTTGTCCCATTTTTATTTTTATTATTTAGGGAAAGCACTGGTTTGGGTTTTTTTTGGTTTTGTTTTTTATTTTTTGTTTGGTTTTGTTTTCTTTTCTGAGACAGGGTTTCACTCCAGGCTGGCCTTGAACTCACTTTGTAGCCCAGACTGGTCTCAAACTCATAGTAATCCTCCCGCCTCAGCCTCCCTCGTGCTGGGATCACAGGTGTGCACCACCGTGCCCAGCCTAGAAAGGAAGCACTGATTTTTTTTTTTTATGTGGCCTGATGGGATCAAAGTCTTAGCACTACAGAGTCCAGTATGGTAGGGTAATTTTTAGAGTCTTAAGGTGGGAAACTGGTTAAGATGTGACTACTTTCATTGATTTCATTTTGTTTGTCTGTCTGAGAGAGAATTTCACAGCACTGCCCAGGCCGGGCTGGAACTCCTGGGTTCGAGCAGGTTTCTCCCCCTGTGGCAGACTTTCAGATCAGTTTCCTTCTTTCCTCTTTTCTTCTTTCTTCCGTCCTTCCTCTACTTTCTCTTTCCTTTTCCTTCCCCTTTCTCTGCTCTTTCCTCCTGGTCCGGAGGTGGCACCCAGTGGCTGACACATTCCGCCGCCCAGCCGGGCCCCAGGCCAGTCTGTAAGATGTTTCTGTACCTCGGGTTGGCTTCCAGAGCTGTGTGACTTCTTCTGGCTACCTGCGGGCTGGAGGCACCATCTTCGATGAGAAAATTATTTTACACGAACACCAGAATAGTTTTATCTTGGCAGCTCACTTTTTGTTGTTGAAACAAGTTGGTTTCGAAGCTGTGGGGAAGAAAGCTGTCTGCTTCTTTCTGAGATGCGCTGGATGAAGCTGCGTCCTTAGGGAGCCTCAGCGAGCGCGTGGCTTCTGCAGGAGGGTCTGGGAAGAGGTGCTGTGGGTCCTACCAGTGGCTGAGTTCTCTAGGGATCTCGCTGTGAGATATTCCGCTGGGAAATGACAGCAAAAGGGACAAGGGGCAGGCACTCAAGGACAAAGGTGCTTTTATCCGAGCCACGGTGCAGGGAGGGACAGACCACATCCAGAACTCCTGTCTGCCTTGGAGAAAGAGACTGGACTGTTACCAGCTTAGACAGCACGGGCAGCA